ACAGGTGAAGCTGGAGGACACCATGGTGGCGAGAGAGAACCCCATGATCAGTGAGATACAAAACGATGAGAAAAGTGAGTGAACCTCTGAACATATATAAACAGAGTGACACAACCAAACAGAAACCACCAGACGATCAGGTGAAGAAGACGTGGAAGTGAAAGCCTGAGCAGCTCTACTTTCAGTCTACCTACTTTCATATGGTTCTGAGCCTGTGAAGTTTCTGAAGTGTGAAAATATAAATTCCCTAAGTTTCTCATGTGAAGCAGAAACCAATTTATTTATGTATACATAGTGTTTGTATTTTGCTCTCAACAATAATGCCATAAACAGGTATTTATCAATTAACTTCATAAACATGCAGCAAACAGAAGAAAACCAACATCACTTCACTGTTTGCACGTTTTCAAAAAGGAAACGTGTGATAGGGGAAAGTACTGATGCTCACCAAAGCTGTCCTGTCTCTTCTTCGTGATCTTCTGTTTGTGTGTGAGCAGAGATCAGCAGTGATCAGCCAGGGCAGGTCACTGGCCGGAGGAACCACCTGGGGGCGCCACAGGACCACGAAGGTCTGCCAGAGTCCAGTCGTGGAAATGAGAGCCCAGTCCAGATCACCCCATGGAGGAGCCACCTGGGGGCGACAGAGCACCAAGGTCACTGATTATGTGTTTATATAAATAATAAACTCATTCGGGAGAAAGTGCGTGTGATGACAACTAGTCAACTGACAGAGAATTTATTTGCACATATACCACTAGCCTACCAGGGAACAGCACCTTTCTTTCTTTCTTATTCCGATAATGATCTAAAAATTTTCAACCAAATATTTGCTGGTTTCAGGTTCATAAATATGCACATTTATTGCATTTCTTTCTCTAATGCAAACTGATTCCTTTAGGCATTTGAACTTAAAGCAGGAGCAAAGGAGGTCAGAATATGTTGCTTTTCAGAGAAACTGTCCAGACATTCTCCTCTTTGTGACACATGACCCGGACGATTGACATGAATGTAAAGAACTATAAATAAATATGAAACTAACTGTTAGTGGAAGAGCTTCGTGTGTGTGCTGAGGGCAAAAGATTATTGCTTTATAAAGTGTAAAAGAGGGGAAGCTGAGAAACTGAAAGAAAGAAAAGAAAGGATGGAATAAGGGAGAAAGGGAACAAGCAAGAGGAACGGGAAGAATGAAATGGGGAAAACACAAAAAGGTCAGATAAAAGAAAGCCAATAATGAAACAAAAGAAGACAACAATGACAATTTGTAGGAGCAACAATTAGTAAATGTTTTCTCAAAACCACCACACATAGTAACAGAGCTACAACACAGTGTCCGCAGCTGCAGGTCTTGATATTTTTCATATCAGAATATTTAGAGGTTTTTATTTGTCACTCAGTTATCACCACACACTCCCACTGATTCTTTAAAAGGGTGTCTGACGTGTTTGTCTGTGCACAGATGTGACCAGCTCCACCCCTCCAGGCTCCAATCACATCTACCATACCATCGGAGGAGGGTGGAGCGGCAGCCGTAGTGCTGACATGTCATCATCATCAGCAACCAATCATGAGCCGGGGAATGAGCGCGATGGCAAGGAGCACATCTCTGCAGTGACGGTGGACAGAAATTCAATTTATGCTCAAGTCAGCAAGAAGGTGAGACAGACCACGCCCTCTGTTCATACACCTGAGCAGGTAGAGGTGGAGGAGGAACAGCCTTCACCTCCACTGCCTGACAGGAGGACAGAGGTGGAGGCTTGATGGTGATGAAGGAGTAAAGGACAGGGAATGAAGGATGTCAGCTAAACGACAAACAAGGACTAAAGATGAACAAATGTTGATAAAAGAGCAAAGAAGAAGAGAAATGATGATGAGTCAACAGAGGACAAAGGGTGAAGGACAAACTGCTGCAGATGGCAGAACAACAACAGATGAATAATAAACATCTCGATGTTGGACAAAACGTAGGGACTGAAGGACAAATGAAGAAAGGCAAAGAGAAATATATAGCAATGTAAAATACTCATCTACATGTATTTGTAAATATCAGTGTGCAGAGATCTCGTCTCTCCTGGCGTGTTATTGTACCTGAACTCACTGACACAGATCAGACAAAGAACAGAGGAGCTGTTCTACTAATTAAACCAAAACCACTGGATCCTACATTTCCCATAATACAACCGGAGAGTGTTTTCGCACATTGATGAGGAGCTTCATATAAAACGCTGGCCTGTTACAGCAGCAGGGACTAAAGCTGTACGAGGCCATTCTGACCTTTTGGCAACATTTAGCCCTTGAGCTTCATTTCATATGATACAATTTATCATAAAGCTGATAATTTCCTAATCACTGATCAGTTTTTAGACTGACTTGTTTCTGCCCACATCCATGCCACTGGTTTGTTTTTTATTTTTTAGCAGAAACAGAGAGGTAAATCCTCACTGTCAGCACTTAGACATCTTTATGTGCAGAGTTTCATATCAGAGCTGAAGGAAGTAGACTGAACAGACATTAAATAATTATTGTTTCAGCCATTTTCTTGTTCCAACACTGACAATTTGTTGTGTTTAACTGTTGTTAAGTGATAATCACCTGTTTGAGTTGTTTGTCAGAACAAACATCTGAAGACTTCACATTTAGCTTTGTAATAATTGTTCATTTGTGACATTTTACACACTGAACAAACATCATATTAATTAGACAAGTCGCTGGGAGGTCATTTAAGGATAAAAAACCAACTGTAGCAGCAGCCCTATGTTACACACACACACACACACACACACATATGTCCACGCTATGTTTGGCCGTGTGCTGACTCAGCTGAACTCCACCAGCTGGGTCACTGCTGCATCACGAGGCTAAATATACATGAACTCTGTCCTTCTGATGTTTGGTCTGATGTTTGGTTGTGTGACAAACACTGATGATGTCATCAAACACAGTGTGTGCCACATTTTAGAGACTAACCTACATGTGTGTGGACTGTGGGAGGGAGCTGGGAGGAAAACCATACACAGTACTGGGATGGGCTGTAAACCAGTCTGTGAATGGGAGCCAACAGTGAACCAACATCCCAGACATATTGCTCAACTAGGTGCAGCCCCACCTGCCCTGTCCTCACCTGCACAGTGCAAACAGGCACTCAGTGCCATCCTGTGTTGTGTTTTCGGCCTTTACAATAAGATGTAAATATGTAAATCCACAGTCTGGGAGAAAAACCGATTGAAAGGTGTGAACTGAATGACCATGTTTCACACGTTTATTTTGCTATCACTGCTGATTGTGTCAATAGCTGGAAAAATAAAGTCAGTGTTGAGAAATGTGTGTTACCATGTGAAAAATCTATAAGGCACAGTGATGTTTGGCCAGTAAGTGTTTCATAGTAAATTTTAATTAAAGAATCCACTGTTAAAGTGAACAGGAAAAAAACACATGTCCAATACATTTTAAAAAGAAAAGGATGTTACAGTGGGACAGGAACTCATTTCGACATCTGATGTTAAAGTTCATCATCTTGCCTGTTTGGGTCTGTTGGATGAAGCTGCAGCATTTAAAAAGTTAGGGTGCATTACAGGAAGTTTATGAGTCACTGACTTATGACTGTAACTGACAGTGTGTGTGTGTGTGTGTGTGTGTGTGTGTGAATAATGAAATGGAAACTTGTCAGCAGGCACGTTTACCACGACATGGACCAGCTGAATATTTACTGAGCCTGCATCCTGGCCTGTTCCCAGTATTGGTCACATTCCAACTGATCCTTCACACATTACAGCCTGACTGGCAAACGTGCATGTTTGAAACTTGTTGTGTACAGTTTGCAGGGTTTGTGTCACTCACACTGCAGAGCCACAGAAGCTGTTTTCGCATCACTGGTAAACCAATCTCCATGTGTAACATGTTAACAAAACAGATGCAGCCCTGATCCAGGTTTCTGGAGCATTTTGTTCAGTTCCAATGTATTTCTGTCCCGAATGCTGTATGCTACTCTATTAACATTTCTCTTCAAACTAAGAGATCTGAACCTGGAAAACAAACCGTGTAGTGAGTGTCAACCAGGATCCGTCCACACAGCTGCAGCACTCAGTGTGAGCCAGCAGCAACCACAGACACCAGGTCTTAGAAAAGGCTGAATGCTGGAAACCACAGATATAAACACATAGACGCCACATTCAGTTTGTGAACTGTGTCTCTGCAGCCACCATATTCCAGCAGGATTCAGTTCAAACTGTAGAAAACACCAGAGTTTGTGCTGCTTTTGGATGTTTTACTGAAAGGAAACAAAGCAACAAATAATACTTTACAAATGTGTGAATGCTTCAGCCATGTTCCACCGCAGTAAGACAAAAGAACCAACTTAGAAACTGCTTACTTCATATTAAATCTTACAGAGACATCACTGTCACTGTCTGAAAAAGATAAAGTGTTTTGGTCTGTAAATCCACATTTTATTGTAACCAAATATCATAAATACATTTCTATATTTGTAACAAACCAAACAGCTGCCATAAGACTGATTATAACTGTGCACAGACCTCCTGCTGTCATACACACACACACACATGCATGCACGCACGCATTAGGTAGCTCCCCTGTACCAACATAGCGCCACGCTGCCTCATCGCTGCAGTGAACAGCAGTGGCTCAGGAAACAGTTCTCAGAACAGTGGAGCAGGGCAGACCCACCTGGTCGTAGCTGCTGAGTGACGTCATCATCAGCCGATCGCTGAACCCCGGCAGCTGTGATCAGAGGGAAGGACTCTAAAACACAGACACTCAGGGGGCCGTGCACTGTTGAGCAGGGTCTCAGCTTCGGTGTAATGACACAACAGTCAGTGACAAGATCAGTGCCGTCAGTGCTGAGGTACCTGAGCTGATCCTTAGACGTGGATCAGGTGTTTCTCATTAGTGCATTTTGGATGTGAGATTAACTGCTGTGCTGAACTGCATGACAGCACAGAGGAGTCAGAGGAGAACGTGCACAGCGTGTCAGGAGCTCATTTCAACATCTGAAGTCTATCATCCTACTGATTCATCGGAGCTGGTGGATGAAGCTTCAGCAATTAGAAACTCCCGGTGAATCAGAGTTCAGCTGCTGCTGCTGGGTCATGAGCCACTGACGTGTGTGTGTGTGTGAATCAAATGCACACTTGAGCAGGCACGTCGATCAGCTGAACATTTACTCTGCTTGTTCATTCTGACAGGCGACAGCAGCTCAGACACAGAGCTGCTGGAGAGGGCTGAGCGCAGAGTGATGCAGGGGCGAGGTGTTAGGTTTTTTCTTTACTTTCTCAGTTTTGGTGTAACTGTGTCACGTAGATGCTAGATACTGATACATGGTCTTTACTTTGTCCCTTTTGTTTCACCCCCTGACTTATATGTCAACAGCTGAGTGCACCAGGCTCGACACAGAGCTGCCAACCTGCTGACGTGTGGACAACAAGCTTTTCTCCATGCGCACGTCCGGAGTGGAACAGCAACCTTTGGGAGCGACCTACTGTGCAACTTTTAGTCTTTAGTTCCTCAAAATGACTGTTATATCCGGGAGAGGTTTTGTATGCAGTCATTTCCTTGACAGTAGTCATAAAAACATCTGTCCAGTTGAAGTCCATTGATTAAAGCTCATTTTAAAGTTTAGATTAAACTCATTGTCTTCATTGTGTTGCCATGTTGAGTTTGATGACAGTGCAAACATAAAGGAAAAGGTGTTTCCTTGCTGAAATGACAACAATTATGAACACAACCTGTTAAATCATCCCAATGTCTCCCATGCAGAGTAAATTCAGTATAACACTGCTCTGGTCTTATTCTGATACACACAGAGGAACAGGCCTGACCTGATTCTGATGAGGGAATAAGGTTTGTACTGGCAGAGGGGAGATGGTGGCCCTGCTGCCCTCACTAGTGGCCAGTTCGACCTGAGAGGAAAGTGTTGTGGAGGTCTTTCTCTCCAAACAGACAGAAAATCCTGTCACAGCTGTTCAGTCTGTAGATTCACACTCACTAATCATGATGAAACAACAGTGGCAGCTCTGTGCTCGAATAACAGACAGAGACATGTTCTGAGAATGCGACTGTGGTGCGGTGGGTAGAGCAGTCATCTCCCAACTACAAGGTTGGAGGTTCAAGTCTTGGTGCTGGCAGTCTGTGTGTTTAAGTGTCCTTGGGCAAGACATTGAACCCTGTTGCTCCTGATGGTTAGAGCCATCGGTTGAGTTGGCACTGCAGATGGCTGTCATCGGTTCTGTACTGGAAACAAATTCCTTGTGTGTGTAACATACTTGGCCATTCTTTTCTTTTTTTAAACCATAAAGTGAAACAACAAGGTGAACTAGATGAAGACACATTGTTTTGGATTATGTTTTATTTTCTTACCTTTATGTTTTATTCTTGAGCTTTGTTTTCCACATTTTCACCATGGCTACAAAGACATGGAACAGTTAGGTGTTTTTTTATTTTTATCTGCTTACAAAGTGCCTTACATAGTCTGTTGTCTGCACATGTATAAACAAAACCCAACATAAGCAGATGTCATGTACACATATATACGGTGGGGGGGGTTAGTAGCTGGCGAAGATTAAACCAAATGCCAAAAGAAAGAAGCCGTCAAGATGTGTTATTGCGGTAGCTCTGTGTACTAATGAATGCGGCTCGGCCTCTCAGTGACAGTGACAGCAGGATTGAAAACTCGGCGGGATGTCCCATTAAACGCAGCAGTTTCCCTGTGTCTGCACGTAGCCCACGACAGAAGCGCGCCGGCGTGAGCGTGGGCTACGTGCAGCTCCGCATACACATGCGATCCCCGCCCTCAGGCTGCTCTTTGTTATCAGCACATGGTGCTGTAGTACACACAGGAACACATGCACAGTAATGTGAAACTGCAAAAACATACAAGTTGCACGACCCAAGACCGGTAAATAACAACCTGTGAATACTTTGCGCTTCAGCACTTTTACTGGTGTGCAAGATTTATCTAAGTGTATTTCTGCACTTCGGTTCGGTACCGTCTCTCTTGTGCATTCATATTAAACACGGAAAAACACAGCAGCAGTATTTTCCATGTATAACAATATTCCAAAAGGAGTATTCATCTGCCTTTAGGCGAAGGTTGTGCAGTAAACAGGGAATCGTGTAGCCTAACACTACACAGACACTTGGGAATATTTAATCTTCATATTTCTTTGAGTAGTCTACCATGTACAATATAGCCTACTACTGTGTGTACTTAATGAAGCTTCCTGCAGCTTATTGTTTAGAAGCTAAACGTGTGTAACAATGTGGAAAACAGCTACGGAGTAAATGTCGCTGTAAACAACACCAGGAACACCACAGGAATATTAGTACCTAAGTACTATGGACATACTACAGCTACTGTACTAATGTCTGCAGGGCTACTGTAATACTATATGTAGTAGCCTACTTTTTCACAGTTTGAAACTAAGCTCGTGTAAACACCTTGCAATAACTGTATTTACTACATAAATTCTGTAAAAGTGCACCACAGACGGGGAGTACTCCGGGTCGGTACTGGAACACAGTGTACTGTGGCGAACGACAGCGCGTCCGTTTTGTTCGTTCCGGTGAAGAAAGTCCGTAAACACCCGACCACAGTGGGGTGTGTTACTGCACGGCCTGGCTCCACCAATCAGCGCACACCTCATCAGCACGTGGTTTTCTTGTTTACTACGCGAAAGGAGAGCCACCGAGGGAGCTGCTGAGAATTCCCGGAGCAGGATTGGGGCTCACATCGCATGATATCCCCCCACACATTAAACATTTCCATATTTTGTGAAGGTAAAGACAAATGTGTGTGTCACATGATGGAAAACTCCTGATGTTGGTTCAGTTTTCATTCATCTGTGCACATGGAGAAACACGATGCATCATGGAAACAATAAGACTTGTGACCTCTGACCTTCACAATGAAAAGGCTGACAGGGTAAAGGGTTTGGTTTTTCAGCTCTAAATGACCGTAAATCTACTTGTCACTCCTCATCACAGGTTGTCAACAAAGTCAAGAGCAGTGCCATTTCTCTTTCTCTGCTTGTTTCTGTTGAGAGAACAAAGAAAAGTGCTGCTCAGCAGAGAACAGGACAAGTGAAGCTTTCTTTTCATCTGGTCATGTACTGTATGTCCTCTCCCAGCCACCACCTCCTGCTTTAGGCAGGGTTAGAATAAGATCATTTGTTATCTGTTAAATTACTTTTACTGTTTTTCATTTGCCTGTGTCTGCTTCAGCTGCTGTGACAGTGAATAACCTCATCACCGAGTCACTGGTAGGTTTGGTTCATTGCCATTAAACTCTGTGCACAGAATTAACACCAGTGTTTTCTCTTCTGTCTGACACCCTGACAGTTACTATTATTTTTGATTACCATGTTGATTATAGTCTTAATGAATGCTTTTCTATAGAAGTGAAAAATCTGTACTCTTTCGTTTACTGGAACAAGGAAATGCACCACCTAAGAAGCTGTAACCACAAAATATCTTTAATTTTGTCTTAAAAACTACCTATAGGGTGCAGATTAATTTTCTGTTGACCAACGTGACCACCTGTTGCAGGTCAGATTTAATAAGAAACAGAAAAATACAGCACATAATCATTATGAGCATTTTAACGTGGACAGCTCCAGTCAGATTTGGCCTTTGATTTTCTACATTCAGTATGTAAGCTGCCTCCTCACAAACTGTTGTCCCACAACATTAATTCATTGAAGTCATGTCTTCACCGGCAAATTAAAGCCATCAATATAACGAACAATAGGGGACTGGACGACTGGAACCCTTCAGGTCTCAATGGGACAATCCCAGTTTAACCATGAACTGGTTTGTCCTGAAGCAGCAAGAAGAGAACTCCTTGCCAGCCGTCTCAGTGATCCAGCCCGGGTCTTGTGTGTCTCTTCTCCCCCACCTGATGTTTCAGGCTGGCTGCAGCACGCACTTTTTATTTTTATCGCATTCACACTCACACTCACACACTCAGCTTTCTTTGAACAGTAGTGGACACAGTTGGAGCTAACCTTGGTGCGGGACTTGTTTTTCTGTTGGAGTCTGCGGGTACGTGACAACTGATGCATGTTTGTGTCGTCTCTCGGTTGGATGTGCTTCATTGGCTTATACAAGGTTTGAGCAATGACATTTTACATGTTTCATCTGTCAAGTGATTTTTATGCTCAAACGTGCGTGTGTGCGGAGTGCCTGTCCTGTAAATTGCTGCGGAAGTTTTCAGAGTGAAAGTGTTTACTGTTAACTTCTGCAGAGCTCCTCTCAACGCTGTGCGCATTCAGTTCAGTTTCTACTTCTGTCATCAGCAGCGTCGATTCTAGTTTATGCCATGTTTACTAAATTCTGCAGTAAAACGTTGAATCCATCCTTTCCCTCTGTCTGTAACCTGGATCTCGTCGTGCTGTTCAGACTGGACAAAGGGTGTGAAGTGCCTTGGTTTGATTTTGGACACTGCAGGTCGAGCGACATGACTGTGACCGACACACTGGTCTTAGCTGCTCATTGAGGAGGGTGTGAGCTCGGCACTGAAGGAACGTGATTGGTTCACAGCTGCAGGCACACGGGGCTGTGTACGCCTGTTTGTGTGTTGTTTTAAGTTGTATATTTAAAATATCTGCCTACTTTTAAAGCCGCAGACTCGTAATCAGTGCTGTATTGAGCAGCCTGGCTTCAGTCGGCTCCCATTCAAAGTCTCATCATCTCTCATGGGTCATGTTTCCCAGAGAACATTATGTTCTCGGTCTCTTGACCCAGACCCTGTGAGAAGTGGCAGTGTTGGAAGCTGGTGCTACATTAATCAGATTTTCGGGCATATAGAAGCTTTGATGTTCGACAGGTGTGATGGACGAGTGTGAATGACAGTCAGCTGACTCCTGTACTGGTTAGACTAATAATAATAAGCTTTATTTTATTGTCATTGTAACATGTACAACGAAATTTTGTTTGGAGCCGAGGGCCCGGGCCGCTGCGTGCATACACTGCGGTCAAATAAGCCGCCGTTCAGTTTTACGTGGTCAAGCCAGCCGCGCTAGAATTTGAAGTGCAGTGCGCCTATATACTCTATATACTTACATTTACGGTAAAGGTATTGAAACGGGCCAAAGCTCGCGATTTTCAAAATAAAATACCTTAACTCCAATGCTGTATTATTTATGAACTTTCAAGTTTAGATTCTACATGGACCCGCACTGTTACCACACAAATAATCAAGCATTTCTACTGTACCATTCTGGAGAAAACTCACATTACAGATGTGACTCTAATGCTTGTATTACCTATTTTTATTGTATTAACAATTTCACACAATTTGGGAAAAAACAAAAAATTGCAAATGTTAGGTGTGTGTTTATAATATTATGAATGAAATGTGCATTGTTTGGTCAAGGTGTCACTAACTTAATAGTTTACTAAGTGGGCCAACCCTCCCTTCGTCCACTCCATTTGGGAGAGGTGAACTCTTCACCTGCATCCGCAACCACTCCCCTCCCCTTTCCACCTCTCACACAGCTTCTGTGTCAAGCGCCTGCTAAATCCAGTATTGAATTTCAAATCTTGCACATGGAATGTGATTGTTCTCCAGAATGGTACAGCAGAAATGCTTGATTCTTTGTGTGGTAACAGTGCGGGTCATGTAGAATCTAGGAATGATGTCCTTATGCTGCAAATATTAAGAAAAGTGTTTTTATTAAACTTGGAAGTTCATAAATAATCTGGCATTGGAGTCACCGTATTATATTTTGAAAATCGCGAGGTTTGGCCAGTTTCAATACCTTTACCGTAAATGTAAGTATATAGAGTATATAGGCGCACTTCAAATTCTAGCGCGGCTGGCTTGACCACGGAAAACTGAACGGCGGCTGATTTGACCGCAGTCTTTTGTGTGCGTGTGTCAGTGGATTTGACACCTACATACTGTGCCTCTTCCTTCTTACACTGAGAAGACAAGCTGCTGAGGTTCATATAAAACCTTAGTTAAAATAGGAAAATGTATTAATAAGCAACTTTATTTTCTATACAAACATTTGCAGTACACTGACATTTACAACATAATGCAGTACCAAAACACATTTAATTAAAGCAAAAAGTGAATTTAATTCACGCAGCGGCCCGGGCCCTCGGCTCCAAACGGCGGCTGATTTGACCGCAGTGTGCATACGCGCCGCCATCAGGGCTGCTGCACCCCCCACCCCCCATATGCTGTCACAGTGTTCCATTTGGGTTATCATCACTTTATTGTGAACTGTTAGCACAGTTAGCTAAATGGCATTAAGTCGGTATATAGGCTACAACACATTTGCATAAGGTCCTGTAGCTAGCCTGCTAATTAGCCAACCTTGGTTAGAAGAGTGTGCCTCTGATGCAGAGCTGGCATGTCTAGTGTTTTCTACATCAGCTGAAGTTGACTTAACTTTGTGTCTGGACACTTATGAAGTAGCTGAATGGCATTTTTGTTCAGTACGCTCCAACAGGAAAACCTGGCGCCAGCAGCACACTGCAGAGGTCAAGAACTTTTGTCTAAGATCCACTAATTCCTTTGGAGGCCAAAGGGCGGCAGTCCGCCAGGTTCTCTTGTCAAACCAGCTCCAGTGTAAACTCATTCAAAAAGTACATTCCCCAGGTAGTAGTATCTGCTCGACTAAATTCCAGAGGGATATATTGTAGTTTTTACTGCACTGCATTACTGGTGACCAGGGAATCGGGTATTAAAATGTGACCTGAAGGTGACTGAGCGTGGCACATGTGACTGCATTGTAGTGGTACTTCCTGTGTTCAGCTCCGACTGCATTGTAGTGGTACTTCCTGTGTACAGCATTAGATGTAGTAGAGCTGGAGGTCAGAACCTTTGGAACAGATTCAGCATCAGTGTTACAGAACCATTATTATAGGCTGTTTTCACTCTGTTGTAGAGTTTGGATCAGACCTAATGTTTCCTGGAGTCTCTCAGGTGTGATTCTGGCCTGTGATGGGGACGGGGTCTGAATGTTTCTAAATTCTGCCAAATGTTTCTGCTCCACAGAGTCTAAGGCAATTTGGCCACATTATTGTCTACACATTGAAAAATGACAACATTAAATAGTAATATACAACAGTACAGTTTATTTTTAATACAGTTACCTTTGCTTTTAATAAGTGAAGTACATATAAGTGATAATAATTTTGAACTTTATCATTTTACATTGTAATGGACCATTTTTAGACCGGGAAATGACATGTAAGTTGTTAATTATAACCGTTTGAGCGTGTGTAAGTATATACAGTCATGTAATTACTGGTTTGATTGACCCAACCAAGTCATATAAAATAGATTAATTGGAGAAGAAAGAAGAGAAAAATTCTCTTGTCTTGTTTTCTGAGCTGGTCACATTTCATATGCTCAGAGTTTTATGTAATCTTTTATTGTTTTCGTGCAGTATCAGATCATTGGACCTCTTTATTGAAGTGAAACCATGTGAGGAGCATAGAGAAGGAAATGTGCCTTTTCTGGAACTGATAACAGCAGAGAAACATCCTAAACATGAACCAGAGGCACTGATTTGTTTGTAAGAAGTCAGAGCAAGAAAAAAAAACCCTGCTTTAATCTTTAACATTACATTTTAGAATTATATTTTAATCTGAAAGGGAGGGGCGAAAGCTGTCAAATAAGCGCAGTGCACCAAAAAGTATGTAAATGTGCCCTGGCAAATGTAGTGGAGGAGAAGTACTTTAGGTTTGAGTAGTCAAAATAAAAATGTAAATGTACTTAGTTACTGCAAACAACCAGTGCACACTGGGTAAAGTCGACCTTTTACTGCATTGGTGCTACAGTGTATTAGCCCAAATTTGTTCCAAAGATTTATAGTGTGTGTTTTTATTTATTTGTGTGTATCTGCATGTTTGCTCATACTTTTGGCCCTTTGGTGTATGTTTTATGTGCAGTTTGGAGACGTGTTTGTGCTGGAAACTGGTTACTCTGAGTCACTGATTAACAGGAAATCTTCTGGGGGGGGGTGGGGGGCTGTCATGTTTCGTCATGTGGCCATGGTGACACAGTGTAGTAAAAATGTGTTATAACAGTGATGGTTGTGAGCAGATGTGATGTGCTGAAGACAGTGATTTGCCCATCCGTTCCAGTTCTGTTGATCCTCCTGCAGACACGCAGTCAGTGGTCTGACTAGAAACTACACTGTGACCTGTACTCCTGAGCTGACACTGCTCGGGCCATGCTGTACTGGGGGAGTAGGTCTGGGTATCGAACCTGAGGACGTTTTGTGTCTGCAGCACCACATACTGTATGTGGAACGAACTCCCAGGAAAATTTCATTCATGTCTTGCACCTCACTGTGATTTTCATTCTAATGTCTTTTTATGTGATCATGTCAAGCTTTGAATTTCCTTAGGCTGGATTCACACAGGCATTTGTCCTGCATTAAAACACACAGAGGACTGTGTTGTTACTGGTGAGGCAGTGAAATAGGATCCAGGAAGTCCAGTTTGGTCCACAGATTTGTGTGTTTAAAGCTTTGTGTGTCCTGTCCCACAACACCTCAAACTCAGAGAAGCTCATGAATGAGTGTGACAAGGACTCGGCGCTCAGATCTAATTCAGCTCTTACAGATCCTTGTCTCTGCGCTCTCAAATGTTGATGTGCAGATTGAGTCGCAGTCGAAGTTTGATTTCAAGTTTTGTCGTTGATATGCTTCCGTGTCCGCCATAATTTCAGTCCCTGCAGTGATCGTTGTTTTGTCTGACATCACCAATGTGACTGTGACTCCTTTCAGACTCTTTCACACCAACATGTTTCCAAAGACTCGTCTGGGAAAGCGTTCTCCTCTTGGAACGTTGGTGAGCTCCACCTGTCCGGCAGCGGGAGCACACACGAACCCAGAGACAGGTGAGATTGGTGTCACCGTGACAGTGGCAGCGGCAGCTGGACAACAAGCCATCAACAGGGTCAGAGGTCATCCAGGACTGAAGGTGAGGGGGGGACTTGATCTTGTGTGGAAATGCATGTAGTTTATCTAACCAGCTGTTCACATTTTTATGTGCAGTCCAAGCTTTTATTGTAAAACGTGGAGAAACAGAGTCATGTTTCAGCTCTGCAACAATCCTGTAGTTGTGGGGAACGCACTGTGTCCATGATTAAAAGAAGTCAGGTTGGCACTGACTGTCCCAGGCTGTCACACTGAGCCATGGTGGTGTTCCCCCCTCTCAGGTGTATTTCCAGTGCCGAGGACGACGTGAATTTCCAGGTGTGGTGGATCAGTCGGACGCAATGCAGAGTGATTTTTGTGCCTGGTCTTCGTCTCATCCCTCCTCCTCCTCAGCGCCTCCGTCCAGCAGCAGATCTGTGTCCTCCTGCATCGATGTCCCCCAGAGGTCAGACGTATCCTCTGTCTCTGATTATTTGTCCAAAGATTTTTCACAAAGTAAATTCTAACTCCAGTCACCTCCTCCTGCAGTCACAGGAGTCCCGAGGAGGTGGAGATGGATGAGTTAATGGCAGCCATGGTTCTCAGCAGTTTGTCCTGCAGCCCTCTGCTGCACAGTCCTGCAAACCCAGAAACAACAGGTACAACGGCAAACAGCTGCAACAACAAGGGCACACAATAAAATCTGTGTTGACTCTACAGAGGCAGCAGCAGCAGTTGTTCTCTGTAGCGATGCATCAACATGGCCACCATGTTGGTACAGGGAAGCCTCCTAATGCATGTCTGTGTATGAAGGCAGGAGGTGTCGCCAGTTAAAGGCATCGTAGCTCACTGAAGTTAAAACTGATTTTAAAGCAGCTGGTTTGTTACAAATGTAGGAATGTGACATCAAATCTAATACAGCTAACTGACCAGCTAGTAGTAACCACTGTGTTTTTGTGTGTTGCAGCTC